TAAAATACACAATCATAATGCAAGTTAGACATTATGATGTTCCAGACCTTTGCTTGAGGAAATTTTCTCTAACTAGACCTTTATGTCTTTTTTAATGGACAACATGGACAGGCTGCTGACTGGCTACAGCTGCTAAAGGAGAACCCTACACTGACCACTTGTGATAATTTAAACATCTGGTATTTTTACATAAATTGTTAAGGCTGTATTGATTTAAAAAACAATAATGCGGTGGATCCACCAGACCACTGAGTAACAAACACATCAACACCACACAAGGGTTAAGGTTATATATGGTTCTATATGGCACCAAATAGGGTTGTTCTACTGTTACGATGTCAAGTTTGTGACAATAGAAGAACCCCTCTTGGTGTTATGTAGAACGCTTTTCAAAAATAGAACCATCTACAACACATTCTCCATCAATCTGAAGAACGCTTAACCATGCAAAGAACCTTCTAATCATGCAAAGGGTTCTTAGCGAGTGTTCATGGTTCTGTATAGAACCTTTATCTTTACTAAAGAACCATTTTGTTCATGTTTATCTGAAAAAAAGTGAATCTGCACAGACTCCTCAGTTTCTGTTGATGTAAAAGAGCAAAAGTCCTTGTGGAATAAGAGTTAATCTCAATACTCATACATACACACTTGACTTCTAGACAGTTTTGACATCTTAAGAGGAATTACATTAGACTATACTCCTGCTGAAAAAACCCATAGAAACCATAAAGTGTGTCTGTTGGTTCCTGCTGGGTTTGTAATGTCAAGGATCCCATTGGTTTACCAGGTACTGCTGGGATAGGCTCCAGCACCTCCTGCAACCCAGAAGGATAAGTGGTTGAAAAAGTGTGCGTGTGTGTGTGTGTGTGTGTATGTGGTTTAACAGATGACCAATGGCTGATTCTAATTCATAATTTTTGATGGCTTCCTAATGGGATCTATTTTATTAGAACTAGTGGTCTGTAACGGAAACCATTGAGCCAACTCCCATTAGAATATTAATGGTGCTTTTTCAGCAGAGACATTAATTTAACTACATTAAAACCCACCAGACGTCTCAACAACCAATACCAAAACACTCTTCCATCCCATTTGGAGTTACGCTCCTCCCACTTGGAGCTGTGGTCCACCCATTTGGAGTTACGCCCCTCCCATTTGGAGCTGTGGTCCACCCATTTGGAGTTACGCCCCTCCCATTTGGAGCTGTGGTCCACCCATTTGGAGTTACACCCTTCCCATTTGGAGCTGTGTTCCACCCATTTGGAGTTATACCCTCCCATTTGGAGCTGTGGTCCACCCATTTGGAGTTACACCCTTCCCATTTGGAGCTGTGTTCCACCCATTTGGAGTTACGCTCCTCCCATTTGAAGCTGTGGTCCACCCATTTGGAGTTACGCTCCTCCCATTTGAAGCTGTGGTCCACCCATTTGGAGTTACGCTCCTCCCATTTGAAGCTGTGGTCTACCCAGTTGGAGTTACACCCTCCCCATTTGGAGCTGTGGTCCACCCATTTGGAGTTACGCTCCTCCCATTTGGAGCTGTGATCTACCCATTTGGAGATACACCCTCCCTATTTGGAGCTGTGGTCCAACCATTTGGAGTTACACCCTCCCATTTGGAGCTGTGGTCTACCCATGTGGAGTTACACTCCTCCCATTTGGAGTTACACCCCTCCCATTTGGAGCTGAAGTCCATTTGGAGTTACACCCCTCCCATTTGGAGCCGTAGTCCATTTGGAGTTACCAGTGCAGGTCAAGGACTGGACAAACCTTTAACCGGGCACATAATTGTTCAGTTAACCACATGATGAGGACAGCACAGAAAATTGACTACAACACTTTCCCTTCTGAATTCAGACTTTCTAAATTTAGCGCCCCCCCTTGTCTCTATATTTCATCCCCATTTATAGATTACTAAACCATACTGCAGTTTCACGGTTTATCCTGTGGTGCTGTCACGCTGTACTTAACAGTGTGGACACATGCTCCCAGCATAAAGTTGAGGCAGAGGTCACAACTTAACCTGACTCAGTCATAATTTTACAGCTAATTAAGCTGCAGGTATACAATTAGGTTTATAAACTAGCTGCTTGTTTATGGGTCAGTTCATGGTGAATTCTGCAAATGTGAAATGCATGACACAAACAATATGAATGTAATGATTATTATAATAACATTATCACTTCGTTGACCGTTAACATTCACTACTGGCACTACACCGTTTGAGCTCTCACCAAACGACCTACAAAGCCAGCACACAGTTCGAAATCCATTAGTTCTAAACCTACTGGTGAAAACTAATGAACATTAACATCAAGAATACATCTGAAAGTCTTTGCATTGGAATTAAACTAGCATAACAGACTGCTAGGTGAAACGAGCAATAACTGTCTGTGACTGAGAATGTGTACGACAAGCAGAAGAAGGGCAGAAAGAAAAAGGGGCTCCTGTTTCACATGTTTATGTCTCTTTATTTCTTTACGTTTTTCAGCATTAAAGAAACATTCAGTGTAAAATAAAACAAAGATATATACTGTATATAAACACAACTTACTGTAAAAAAAAATGTTTGTGAGGTTCACTTGTCAAAAAGAAACACCAGTTTTGGAAGTATTGACACCACTGTATCGCACCACCTAACCCAATGTATAAGTGATGCATGAGACATCAGCTATCAAATTACTTCAGAAGACCTTCCTGAAGAGAAAATCCCCCAAAACAAAGCATTTTACACACATACCAAGAACATATCAAAACATAAATGGCAAAAATGTTCAGGACCATCATCAGACTATAAAAATCATAATATTCACATAAGCTTGCGAAACGTTTAGCTATTCAAAGATTGATGGCTTCCGAAATCATGTTGTGGAGATTTATGCTAAAGCCCTATTCGGACGGGATAAGTTTTCCATGGGGAGGTGGGTAATGCCAGTTTACCTCAGGAAATCTGTTTATGAGCGGCTACTCGATTTACGTGCTGCCTTCACTTCAGAAAACGAGTAGAAACGATGTTAAAGCACTTAATTTAGCCATTGCTTGTTTTCCCTGATCATTTACCTCACTGTCTTAAGTGAATGCAGTAAGTCAAGACAGTAAGATTAAGAGACCCTTATTAATCCCACATCGGGGAAATTTCACCTCTGCATTTTAACCCATCCGTGCAGTGAAACACCACATACACACTAGTGAACACACACACAAGGGGGCAGTGAACACACTTGCCCAGAGCGGTGGGCAGCCCTATCCACAGCGCCCGGGGAGCAGTTGGGGGTTAGGTGCCTTGCTCAAGGGCACCTCAGTCACATACTGTTGGCTCTGAGGATCGAACTGGCGACCTTCCGGTCACAGGGCTGGTTCCCTAACTTCCAGCCCACGACTGCCCCATAATATTACACACCTGCCTGATTTTAGCCACAGAGAACAATGAGGCTGAAGTCAGCGTCCTATTTGCCAGCTTCTTGTTCGAACTTTCCCGTTCCACCTTAAATGGTGTTGCTGTTACATTCTGGCATCATAATAATAACTGCTACACTATTTAAGATGCAACAGGAAAATTCGAACAAGAGACTTCAGCTTAGTCAGAGAACACAAGTACATGTTCCTTAAGTGCCTCCATACTCCAGAAACTCCTTTCCCACAGGATATAATAGCGTCTTACCAGCATGTTGATTCAGGATTAATATAAACTGAGGTTGTTTTTACAGCTCGTTTTACAGAAAGTAAAAAGGCACTGGAATCTTTACTGTCACACGAGCGAGTGTCTGTAAAAATGACTGAATGGCGCATTCGGGTGGGCTAAAATCACTGAGAAATGTCGGTAATAATCACATTACCCACCTCCTCATGTAAAACTAATCCAGTCCGAATAGGGCTTTAGCATAAATCTCCACAACATGATTTCGGAAGCCATCATTCTTTGAATAGCTAAGTTGAGATACATCAGTAAAATATACTAATATGAAACACAGAGGGAAACAGGCCATTAACAGGTACTCTGCATGGCTTGAGCTCTGAATGATGAACAATGTGCTTTGTCACAGAATGACCCAACATTATCAACCGGTTTCTATTCTCAGTGCCACACCTACAGTTGAAAAACCGTTCATGGACATGTATGAACAAGCACAATCTTTTTTACCCATTTCTACCAAATAGAATTTTTTTAGAAATTTTTTTGGGAGGTTATTATTTCCTGAAATGGAACCAGTGACTAGTGATGTTCCCCATGGCAGCGTTTTAGGTCCTTTGTTATATTTTATTATCTCATTTTAGGCCAGACATCTTAACGTAAAACTATCACAGTGTGCATTGTGGAGAATGGGCCTTCTGTTAATTATGTGTTCTAATGAATTTGCATTGTTTTACCACCAAAGTTTGCAAACGATCAGCACCAATCAGTAACTCACTCCAGCACTCCTCCTGCCTCCCAGCTCTAGTGTCGTTAGTAAGTTGTGAAATAACATGGTTATAGTCAGATTTTCTTCAAATTTTGTTCAAAATGTTGAGTGCGTTTACATGTACTCAATTATCCAATCACAATCGGATTTCTGCAGTTATCTGATTATTCAAACGGTCATGTCAACAGCAAACTCTGATTTCTTAGATCGGAGTAAGGTCTAGAGATCCAATTAACAAATCTGATAAAGAGGCTGGATTTTAGCTCAGTAATCAGATTTCTCAGTGCATGTAAACTCTTACTCTGATTTCTTTCAGATTTCTCAGTCTGCACATGTACCAGAAGTAAGCGAGCAGTGTTGCCACGAGACGCAGAAAATGCTTTTGTAGCGACGCTGAAAACAAATACATGCTTGGCGAAACGAAGGATTTAAATATTCTTCATCTTCTAGATGATGTATGTTCATATTTTCGGGTAAAGTGGCAGAATGTTTTTTAAAAGAAGCCACGGCATGAAGTTTGAGTTGTACCTTACATTTACATCACGTCTTCTTCTGTGAGTTTATTGGCTGGTTGCAAAGCAGAAATCTGATTATTGTTTGATTCACGTAGACCTGGAGTTTCCCCATTATCTGATTTCTCAAGTGCATGTAAACGCGTCGACTGGATTACTGACTAGTCTGATTTTCTGCAGTTATCGGACTCAATGTGATACCAAATCATCAACCCAGTATTGTGAATGGAGTCGAGTCTATAGTTACACTCCTATCTTCGCCCTCACTGATTGCGAAACATGATTTGGCTATGCACAGATTCCATAAACCTGCAAAAGTCCTCTGTCACTCTGAGTACATCCGAAGGGTCATTTGAAGGCTGTAGAGCCTTGGCATGTTTTGGGGCGTTCATCATTTTAAACACAGAAGGGAAACTGATGACCAGGAGCATAGCTGGGTACCCCTTATCTATGATGTCCACAGCAAAGATCACTGTAACGCTGTTTCCTGTCAATTCTGGATAAACAGAGTCAACCATAGCAAAGTGGCCAAGTTCTATATAAACTCAAGTGTCATGAGTTTCCACCTCTTTCTTAATGCATTTGTGCAACTTCAAACTATTAGAATGTCTGAAGCTCTTCTCACAATCTGAGCAGTAGTACGGCTTTTCTCCCGTGTGAATGCGCTGGTGTGTTTGAAGATGACTCGGCAGAGTAAAACTCTTTCCACACTCTGGACAGTCGTACGGTTTCTTTCCCGTGTGAGTGTGCTGGTGCTGTATGAGGTTACTCAGTCTAGTAAAACTCTTCCCGCACTGCGAGCACTGATGCGGCTTCTCTCCTGTGTGAATGCGCTGGTGTGTTTGTAGGTAACTCTGGGTAGTAAAGCTCTTCCCGCACTCTGAACAGTTATACGGCTTCTCTCCGGTGTGAATGCGCTGGTGTCGCTGGAGATGACAATGTCGATTAAACCTCTTCCCGCACTCTGAGCAGTCATACGGCCTCTCTCCGGTGTGAACGCGCTGGTGCGTCTGCAGATGACTCCGCTGAAGATAACTCTTTCCGCACACCGAGCAGTGGTGAGGTCTCCGCTTTTTCTGCGCTTGGTTCACGCAGAGCGGATCACCGGACGTTTGCGGAAAACTGAAAATGCGTATGGGGCCCGTGGTCTGCAATGTAAACTCGTCCGCTGACAGTAGTATGACGTTCATTTCTGCAAGAGAAAGAGTATTTTAAACAAAATGTGACAAAAGCATGAAATACAAAAAGTTAACTTATTGTCAGTTTATTTACAAATAAACATTGAAAAAAGAACATTAAAATATTCCTGCACATTTAAATGCACAAATATTTATATGCTCAATTTATTATTGGAAATAAATGGCCTTTGCATACATCTGGACACCCTTTTAGTTGGCAAGACTAGTCGTGGGCAGGAGGTTAGGGAACCCGCCTTGTGACCAGAAGGTCGCTGGTTCGATCCCCTGAGACGACTGAAGTGCCCTTGAGCAAAGCACCTAACCCCCAACTGCTCTCCGGGCGCTGTGGATAGGGCTGCCCACTGCTCTGTGCAAGTGTGCTCACTGCCCCTAGTGTGTGTGTTCACTAGTGTGTATGGGGTGTTTCACTGCACAGATGGGTTGAATGCAGAGGTGAAATTTCCCCGTTGTGGGACTAATAAGGGTCACTTAACTTAAAATCACAACCTCCAAACCAGGGGTGTCCATGGTTTTAAGACTGAGACAGACTGATTAAACCAGTCGAATTAGGTGTGCAGTCATACTGACCCTTTGCAGGTAAGACTGGACATTACTGCTCTACACATTTCTTGTAACCAGCTAACAGACTTTCTCTTCTTGATATACGATTTATTTTTCTATTTTTCCTTGCAGAACATTTCTAGTTCATGAATATTTTGCTTGAAAAATTGGTTGCACATCTTGCTTGAAACTGACCCCCAGATTCTGATAACATTCATGTCTGGGGACACTGAAGGTGATTTTCTCTCGATTTTTAAGGTGGTTCAAGGTTTGATGTATGTTTTGGATCATTGTCTTATCACAGTCACCTCTATTCTTCAGTTTCCTCACAGCTCTGCGCGACATTAGCCTTTTGTCCTGTTAGCTGCGCCGACTGTATTGACGCCACAACGTGACAGCTGTTCCATTTAAGGTGAAACGGGAAAATTCGAAAAAGAAGCTGGTGAAAAAGAAGCTGACTTCAGCTTCATTGAGAGTTCAACAGCATGAAAAGGGATGAGGAGGTTGCTCTGTTTCTCTGTGGGTAACTAGCTTATTTTTGCTCTTTCACAGAACCAATAGGTCAGTATTGGTTTGTCCTGCTTGCTACTGTTTGCGATAGCAACTGATTAGCATCGCAACAGGAACTGTAGCAACAGTTAGTAACATTACGTGCTGTGTTGTTGTGCGCGCTAAATTTATTTCAAAGTATTTGTACAACATTGCAAAAGGGTTTTACGGCCAGGATCTAAAAACGTGTTGCGCGCCTCGACAATGCGTGTCCATGAATTTGGGGGGGCGGAGCTTCTGAATGAGCACTGAAGGGAGGGGTGTATTCGTTTTGCTGTTGAGTTCAAATATCAACAATCGTTCTTCAGAATCGTTTACTGCGCCTTTAAATGTGGCATCCAGCCCTACCCTTGATCGGTATTGGCTATTGGCTGATAATGCTGAAAGGTGTTTGTCGATCAGTAATCGGCATCAGCCCCAAAAACACTGATAGGTCCATCTCCACACAGCACAATGGGTAACCATTGTCATCAATATAGATATGCACAACATGCTCAGAAATCCATATTGTTGCATAATGTGATGTAATCATGTATTTATCATGATAAATATTGTCAGGTTGTCCAGCCCTTCACTGGTTCAGTATGATGAATCAGCCTTATGCATTTCTCTCATTTGACCAAGTCAATTAAGAATCAAACTTAGAGGCCACTTTAAAAAATATTAGCCAAATTGCTAGTTCACTCTAGCTGAGTGAGCTACTCACTAAATGAACAAATAAATTCACTGATTTACAATGATTCAACATGGTAAAGTGGTGGGTGATATGGAAAAAATCTAACATTGCAATATCCCAAGAAATTTTCATGATACACAAGGTCACGATATTTAATTTTTTTGACACATGACGTGGTGGTGGTGTGTTAGTGTGTGTTGCGCTGGTCTGAGTGGATCAGACACAGCAGTGCTGCTCTGTGAGGGTCCATGGGGAGTCCTGACAACTGAAGAACAGGGTAAAAGGGGGGCTAACAAAGTATGCAGAGAAACAGATGGACTACAGTCTGTAACTGTAGAACTACAAAGTGCTCCTATATAGTAAGTGGAGCTGATAAAATGGACAATGAGCGTAGAAACAAGGAGGTGGTCTTGATGTTATGCCTGATCAGTGTGTATTCTGCTGAAATGTTGTAGTGCTCATGTCCACTAGCTCGGCAGATAGATATCAGGTTCTTCCAAGGAATTCCAAGAGGCCAAATTTTAATGAACAGGAATGTTTACTCAGAAGAAGCACTGTAAAACTGGAACAAATGAAATATGCATTACAATATACTTACGTGTTGAGTTCACTTTGCAATACATATTATCAAGTAGCTCTATACTTTGTACAAAGGATCTAGGATGTGAGAATGAATAAGAATCACCATTAAAGTAACAGTGTTTAGCTTGATGCTAATATGAAGGAAATTCTCATAGACAGGCTGACAAATTAGTGCCATTTTCTACAACACGGCCCAACAATGGAAGTTTAACTTGGAGAAACATTGCTTCTCTGCAGCATCGAACTCAAAAGCTGAACTACAGCAACTCTAAAGGTACAAACTTAATGCAAACTGCTATAACAAATAACCACTAGAGGTCGCTCTTGGACAACAGACAGCACAATATATATTTGTAATTGATAACATACTAAATTTTTGATTATTAGAAAATCAGCGCATTTATTAATTAAAATTTGACTTAGCAGAACGTGATTTAATTGGATGACGCAGGGAACGTCTTTGTTAAAGCCCACATGCGGCCAGCTAAAGAGGGGGAGCGCGAACAGTGTAAATGCAGCCTTAGGCATGCAGTTTGTTGCTGCTACACTTATGACTCCACAGCTTCTTGGCTTCAGAAGCCCGAGACACACTAAAGACGAAGCCTTCAGACACTGAACATGTTTTGGCTGACTGATCACATTTAGGAGGAGAAAAACTGTGTAAATTAGATTTTTCTCCAGTCAAATTAATCTACAAGTAGTGACCAAACCGGCCCATCCACTCCTCACCTTGCTCTCGGGTCAGCTTTGACTTTCCCCACTAAATTTGCACGTATTACAATATAATTTACATGCGCCTCGAATAACGTCTGTACATTTTACCATATTGACACACATATGCGCATCTAACATGGCACTTTTTGCACATTTTTATTGTTTTCATAATGTTCATAAGATCTGCACACTTACAAAAGATGGTCCTTTTAGGGTTCTTTAGTAAAGGTAATGGTGCTGTTTAGGACCAAGAGTTTTATATAGAACCATTTTGTGCATAAAGGGTGAAATGCACTGTGAAATGGTTCTTCAGACTAATGGAGAATGTGCTGGATATGGTTCTACATCACACCAAAAACCTACTGTTACAAGCTTGACATCGTAACAATAGTAGAACCCTTTTAGCTGCTACATAGAACCATTTCCAAAAAGGTTCTATAAAGGACCATGTACAACACATTCTCTATCAACCTGAAGAACGATTTCACCATACAGGGAAGCATTTAAGTATGAAATGGTTTTCTGAGTGTTCATGGTTCCATATAGAACCCACTGTCTTAACTAAAGAACCCTTAAAGAACCATCTTTTTTTAAGTGTGTGCTCCATTTGTGCACAGATCCATAAAGGAGCACCCAAAGACAAGACCAATGTCCAACAAGGATTTCTCTGTTTGACCTGATGTGACACTGAAGGACCTGATTTAACAGTAAAAAACAGAAGAAGCACATTGAACTGAAGTCTTCAGGACCAACTTGGCAACGTCTGCTAGAACACAAACACTCAGTAAATCTGCATTAGATACACTGAAGTACCACAATGGAATCAATCAAAGGGAAACTCCACTGATTTTTCAAAAAAATCTGCTTAGATAAATGGTTGATGATGTAAACAGAGTCATTCAGAGTGGTTTGGTGTGAAATGCTCAGTTTTAGAGAAACTTACAGAAACTTACAGAAATGTTCACAGTGGTGGTGATAGGAACCAGACGTCCACCTCTGAAAGCTCCCTCACAGAAAGTTATAACAGGTAATGGTTATGAATTCACTGCCTGATGTCTGAGACACTGTTTTATGATAGTTTGAATGTTTGGCTTAAAATGCACTTTAATCCATTTATTTTAATCAATTAATGTTGGAGGGGTATATGTAGGGCCTAATGAGGCAAAATAATCTCCAAAGAAAACTTTTCTTAGATTTTAGTTATTTATAATTCTATATTTAGATATCAATAATATTACTCTTACTAGTCAAAGAGGATTCTAGATATGTACAACTGTATTTTAGAGATCTGAAACTATACATACCTCTAATGCATATTATAGCCTGACTAGTCGTCACTGAATTAAAGATATCTTGAATTAGTATTTCTGCTAGTCAAAATTCAATTATGGATACATCTGGAATTTTCACTAGTCTAATTTTTTACTAATGAAAGTGTACCCGCAAATTTTACTAGTCACAATGAAAGTGTAGATATCTGTAATTAGAATTTTTTTAAATAAAACAATTAGTTATTTTAACAATTACACCTTCTTGAGCCTCAATTCAGCAATATTAGTTTTTAAATCAATTATCTAGAATTCCAAGCACCACAGACGAGCTCGTCCCCACAGTCGTGTGTGAAGGCTGAGGCCATATTTTCAAGGAAAAAAAAACGTTTTTCTGCAATTTTTTCTACAATAATCTATACATGATTATGGAATATATGAATTAAATGACATAAAGAAAACAAATGAATAGTATAAAATATATAATGAAAGTTGTTGTCCCCAGGAGTCGTGTCACTGGTGTTACAGTGTAACAAAAAATCTCTTATTTTGAAATAAAAGTCACACTGATGACACCACTCGACTTCCTTTTACCTATTGTCTGAGGATCTATAAGGAAAAGCACATGGTGAGTCCACTGTGTCTTTCAGTTATCAGAGATTTTCTCATTTAGCTCATGATTTCATATGAAGCTTTTAGCTGACGTCACTGGTGTGACCGACTTTATTCTTAGGTAACTGTGAAAAAATAGAATACAGATGGATTAAATGACATATTTTAGTGGATATTCCATGATTGACATGTGGTTTGATGCTCTGCAGCAGTTATATAGTAAAATAAATTGTTCATTAAAAATGAGTAACACCAATGACTATCAGTAACACCAGTGACTCGTATGGAGAGACAGAAAAGTGGACGTTTCAGTAGAATGACCCTACTGTAGATATCTATACTTATAATTATAGATAAGACAGAATGAAATTACATGTAAATCAAAGGTAACATGATTAGTCAACATTACATCATGGATATGTCATCCTGGCAATATGACTAGTCATAATGTCTTTATAGATATGTGTACTTGATATGACTAGTAAAATTAGGTATAAACTGCACTACAGGTCTATTTTACTAATAAAAACAGTTACGACTGGTGTCATTTTAGGCTAAAACGACTTGCCACATATCACCACCACTGTAAAGTCTCTAACTACAATCATCCATTTCACACCAAACCACTCTGAATCACTCTGTTTACATCTCAAAGACTGAGAGTACGCAGAAATTTTGAAAAGCTGGTGGAATTCCCCTTTAGGTTCTGTCTGGACCATGCATTTTGCAGCGAACCAGATACAAAGCATCAACACAATGTTACAGGTTTGCCACCCAAACCAACATCGTTCTGTTACAGAGCAGAGCAGACGGGGCTCCGCGGTGAGGGGAGGACGGTAACGGCAGCGTCCGTGAGTCGAATCACACCGGTTTGTTCAGAAAGCGAACCTCCCGGTAACGGTTTATCTGAGCGACGCTGAACAACACGACAGACACGATGAGGAAAAGTGCTGAATAGCTGCTTACTTCCACCAGCTCAGCTCCTCTTTCTCTCCGACAGCACTGGGGAGGTGCGAAGGGGACTGCCGAGTCTCATCTCCTCCTCCTCCGCCTTAGTGTGGTGGAAGAACCGCAGTTAAGGAGGTAGCGCCACCAGAAGGCCTGGAGTGGCCCTTCTTTTTTATCCCACCCGTATTCCGGCCAACCCCACCTCCTCCACTACAACTGAGTGGAAGTTCATACCACAGGTGTCAAACTCACCCCCTGAAAGGGCCATATTAAAAAATCTCACCAAATCTGACCGAGTCAGAGAAGGCCTAAGTTTTAATTTTTAATTAGTGGTTTTATATATATGACATTTTAAACATGAATACAGCATCAAACAACTATTTTCTATGTAAAGACATAGTGGAGTAATGGAGTCCTGATTGGAGAATGAAGCCACGCCCCTCTGTGTGTGTGTGTGTGTGTTGTAATCTGAGTTTCTCTGTTTTTGTTTTCATAGCCGGTCCGGCCACTCGTGCATCTTAGTCCCGCCCTGTGAAAATGTCAGCCCTCCCCACGTTTTCAGTGTGTCCCAATTCAGGGGCTGTGTCCTTCAGAGGCTGCATCTGAAGGCCGATTGCGTCACAGCGGCGCGACTAGGCTGTCCCATTTCGAAGGCTCCTTCATATGCGGCCGAGAAATGTGTCCTTCTTTTCCATGGCAACCAAGGATCCAACGGGCGCATCCTTCGCCAGCCAACGTGTCCCAGGTTAATTGCGAGAACATGGCGGCATCAACAGAAAAGTGAACGGCAGCTGAAGAGACACTTTTAAATGTAAGTATTGGGTTTAAGGCTGCATTCAGGCACCTCAGCTTCTTGTTCGAATTTCCTCGTTCCACCTTAAAAGGTGTAGCAGCTAGACTACATTCAGGCACTTCAGCTTCTTGTTCGAATAGACCGCGTCCTTCGAAGCATCCAGCCTTTGTTTTGCCCTCTCCAGACAGTGACCACCCACACAGCATTGTGCTTCTACCATTTAAGGTAGAACGGGAAAATTCGAAACAAGAAGCTGAGGAGCCTGAATGTAGTCTAGCTGCTGCGCTTTTAAGGGGGAACGGGAAAATTTGAACAAAAAGCTGAGGTACTGAATGTAGTCTAGCTGCTGCACCTTTTAAGGTGGAACAGGAAAATTCAAACAAGTAGCTGAATTGGCTTGATTATTTCCAATAGAGGCCACTAGCTTCCTGTAGAAATCCTTTAGATTGCATTAGGAAACCATCAATTGTGTTTAGAATCAGCCATTGATCACCTGATAAACTGTTAGGATCCTTTACATTGTGATATCAACCCACTAAAAAAGCCAGAACACATGTCAAAACCATCGGGAAACAACAGACACACTTAATAGTTTCTTTGGCAGGGCTGTCTTGCCCAATTCCCCAAGAGTGGACAGGATGAACGGTTACTCATTTCTCAAACCAAAGACAAAAGAGATGTGTAAGACCAGAGTTAATGTGTGGAAGAGCACATTACCAAGCATTTTTTGCTATTGACACTAGCATTAGCACTGCCATGGTGAGCGAGATAGCAGCCCGCCAACACTGGAGTAGCCAGTCAACATGGGATCCCCCAAATACCAGGGGGTATTTTGCCCACTGTGCATGAGGATTACATCTCTATGACAACCAAAGATTGGAACTTTTTTGTTTTTGTTTTTTTGTTAAATAAAAAAATGAATTGATTTTTAAAGATTGGCTTAACCCCTTAAATGACCAGGGACCACCAGTGGGTCAAAGTTTTATTACACACTTCTATAACCTAAGAATAGCTCAGCCAGTTTGCATTGAAGTCCCTGTAGTTGCTGAATAAAAAGTAGTATAGTATGTATGTAAGTAGTAAGTGTGTAATAAAGTATGTAATAAACCTGGGATTTTAAGGGGTTAATGTCATTAACAATACAGAGAAACACAGGGATAAAGGGATACTTAATAAATAAAGAAAGAAAAGAGACATACTGTAGGCATCAAGTGAAACATCTGTAGAGATTGTAGCGTTTTTATTATTACAGTTTTCAGTTATCATAAAACAGTGTTTGGAATCCAAGATATAGACTAAAAAAAGGGCCTTTTGTTACAGAACTTGTGATTATAGAATGTAGCGAGTAAAATCAACGGGAAAGTCTCACACCACAACTACAGTGCATCACACAGGAGGCCGGCCCGGGAAGCCTCGAAGGCCGAAGATGTCCTTCGCCACGAAGGGGTAGCATTTTCCTGCAGCCGAACACCACCAGTCCAGTCCAGGCAGCCTCATAGCTGCAGTGCAGCGATACCCAAGCGGCCGGCCTGAGAGGCCTCGTAGCTGCGGCGTAGCGCTGCTCATGCAGCCAAACACTATCGGTCCAGGCAGCCCCACAGCTGCAGTGCAGCGTCAACCAAGCAGCCAGCCCAGACTACGATGTCATGTCGATCAGGTTCCCAGTCCAGAGAGCCCCATAGCTGCGATGTAGCGACACTCAAGCGGCCGGTCCAGGCTGCATAATAGCTGAGATGTAGAGTCACCCAAACAGCCAGTCCAATAAGCCTCTGAGCTACAGCTGGAAAGTCACTCTCAGTGGATATGATGGCAGATTTCTCAGGCAAACATCAAAACAAACACACAAACAATACAAAACCAACGGAAAACCGGAATCCAAACAGTACAGTTTAAAGGAGAGCAATCATCAAGAATATTGTCAGTTACACAGCTTGAGAAAAGCCACAATTCTTTGTATGTAAACAGAGAATGAAACTTAGGACGCCTCAGAAGTTCCAGAGTGCTTAGAAACCAAAGGTGTAAAGGTCAGATCACACTGACCCAGCAAACACCTAAATTTCAATGTCGGCACGTTGGTGTTTGTTGGGTCAGCGCTCTGGCCTTAAACGTAGTCAGATATCTAAGACATGTTTGGTGTCTGAAGTTTGATTGTTTAGTTTTTCACTGGAGCTGTGAGGCTAAACATTATGGACGTCTACAGTAATGTGCAAAAGTCAGAGACCGGCCATCTTTTAGGTTCCCAGTCAAAATGAACGTTACAAGTTATTCATTTTTTCAGGAGATATTTCTGAGAAGGTTAGAGAGTCCACTCATGAGGGAGGAGAAAGTCGAAGGAAAATAAGTAAAAAACAGGTATTTCTGGAGTTACTAGAGAAAATGTGACTCCCAACAACTATTCAAGACCTGGTAGACACCAAAACTGCCCCCATCAGATAAACAGCACTTAAAGCTTTCATCTTTGAGAGAGGAGAAAATCAAGCTGCTTCAGATCTGAAAACATCTACAGGTGTTTCTGTCCATCCTTCCACTGTGAGTAGACAACTCAGATAGGAAAATAGCTCAACACAGCATTGAAAAGTGTAACTGTTTTCTTGTAGTTCCACTGACTGACAGAGATGGGTGATTTGAAGATGAGTGGACATTACAGCCATTGGACTTAAGATCTCATAATAATGAGACAATTTTCTCTTAATTACAAGACGGTAAATCATTATTATGAGATATGAAGTCAAAATTATAAGAAGCACTCTCCATATTATAAGATCTAATTGCTATGAGATAGCAATTTAGTCACATTACACTCCTTTAGTCACATTACACTCCTCCCTACCCCTGGTGGACTAAAATTGGTCTGGACAACCACTGCATTCAATCATTCTCAGCACTGCAGTAACGCTGACGTGGTGGTGGTGTGTTAGTGTGTGTTGTGCTGGTCTGAGTGGATCAGACACAGCAGTGCTGCTGGAGTTTTTAAACACCTCAGTGTCACTGCTGGACTGAGAATAGTCCACCAACCAAAAATATCCAACCAACAGCGTCCTGTGGGCAGCGTCCTGTGACCACTGATGAAGGACTAGAGGATGACCAACACAAACTGCGCAGCAGCAGATGAGCTATTGTCTCTGACGGTACATCTACAAGGTGGACTGACAAGGTAGGAGTGGACAGTGAGTGGACACAGTGTCCACCACCCAAATAGTACCTGCTCTGTGAGGGTCCTGACCAATGAAGGACAGGGTAAAAGGGGGCTAACAAAGTATGCAGAGAAACAGATGGACTACAGTCTGTAACTGTAGAACTACAAAGTGCTCCTATATAGTAAGTGGAGCTGATAAAATGGACAATAAGTATAGAAACAAGGAGGTGGTCATAATGTATAATATATATATATATTTCATAATGCAGATTTCTGTTTCTTTTTTGCTGTGTCGGAATGAGAAACTGGACGGAGTGCAGAACAATCTCCAGGAGTGGTCATTTCGTCCAAACAAGCACTCGTCACCTTTTCCCTTCCTGCGAATGGTTTTATACGCCACAGCTACAGAAACACCTGTAGCCCCGCTCCACTCAACCTCCCAGTAGCAGCGTCCACTCGCGCTCTCTCTGCTCAGCACTTGGAGGTAGTGGTCGAATCTGTCTGGATGGTCAGGATATGTCTGTGCTTTTTCACTGCAGGTCACCACAGTGTTCCCCTCAGACAGACAGAGGTAATTATTTACTGTTTTGGGATCCAGTGTGAGCTCACAGGAGTCTGATGGACAAAGAAAAAGAAATCTCAGTTAAAACCCCACATAACAAACTGTAAACATAATGATAAATAAAAATCTGTGGCCTCGAAACTCAGCTCATTGTTCAGTTACATCTATAGTTAATGTGTAAAGTAATAGTGGAACTGCATGCCTTTATGTGTGTAAATACACAGTCGTAAGCAAAAGTTTAGGCTCTCCTGGTCAAATAACATGTTTTGTTGATTTTCTGAGTGTAAATAAGTTACACATCCTCTACAGAGAACATAGCAATGCACATTTTAATACATAATTACTGCTTATTTACTGGATTTGATATATTGGGGGAAAAAAAAGCACATAAAATGTGGCCTGTGCAAAAGTAATGGCACATTTTATACTGTATGTTTTATGTTTTTTTTTTTCTCCAACATGTTAAACTCAGCAAATAAACAGAGATTTTGTGCACAAACCATTGAATGAGTAAGTCTTTTTCCAAATCAGTGGAGCTCCCCTTTAACTTAATTTTACAACATAAACAGAACATGTAGCCTGTCAGGGGGGTGTTCAAAATTTTGCATGACTGTATATGTAAGCTGTGTGTGTAAAAGAGAGAGCGAGAGAGAGAGAGAAAGACTTACATTGTAGAAACTCTTCTCTGCTTTGGGGTTCAGGAAGAGGAATGATCTGGATTTCTTTCACTGTGGAAACATTTACAGAAACTTAAATGTTTTCAAAAGTGTTGCAATAAGGCCTTGCATAGCTTAAAGACTGAGTCGATACATTACATGGCCAAAAGTATGTGGACGCACTAATGTAATTAGTGGGTTCAGCAGTTTCAGCCACACTCGTTGCTATCAGCATAAAGTCAAGCATACGGTCTTGCGATTTCTGTAGACAAACACTAGCAATAGAATGGATTGAACTTAAATGCTCAGTGACTTTTAATGTGATGGATGCCACTCATCCAACAAGTTAGCTCATCAAAATTCTGCTCTGCTAGAGCTGCCCTAGACAACTGTAAATGTGGTAGCGACAGGCATCACAAGCTCATAGTATAGGACTGCTGTAGCAGGTAACATAAAAAAAACATCTGTCCACTCACTACCAAGTTCCAAGCTGCCTCTGGAAGCAACATCAGTTTCCGCGGCAAAGCATCCATATACAAACCTGAGATTACAACGTGCAATGCCAAGCGTCAGCTGGAGTGTGTAATGAACATCGTCATTGGACTCGAGGAGGAAACGCGTTCTCTGGAGTGATTAATCATATTTCAAAATCTGGCAGTCTGACGGCCTGGTGTAAAGTTTGGTGGAGGAGGAATAATGTTCGGGGGCTGTTTTTGATTTGGGACTCTTAGTTCCAGTGAAGGGCAATTTTAATGCTACAGCAAAAAATCACTTTCTAGTGTGCTACCAACTTTGTGACAACAGTGTGGGGAGGGCCCTCTCTTGTTTCAGGAGAGGGCTCCTCTCCTGTTATAACATCAGGGTACATTGGTCATTTTTAAATCTGATGTTGTATGAATTAAATAATATAATTATGACTATGTGAGCAATGCATAACACCCCCCCCCACCCCGTGTCCATATTATTTTATATGTAACGGTACAGCGACCAGCCTGGTGCAGCACTGTAGGACTAGGTTGAGCTTCTTTGAATGCATCCAAGTAACCTACCTGTATTGGATGTCTTTCTGAACTCTCGGTGACAAAGTTCTTCCACTCTGTCCCTCAGCTGAGACACAGACTTTGTGACCTCCTCAAAAGAGAGAAGAGGAGTGACAGTGATGGGGGATGAGTCTGAAGGTCCAGGGTGCTCGGAGAGAGACTGGAAACTCTACACAAAGAGATTTAAAGAGTTAACAAAGGGATAAAACACACCCTAAAAAGCAACTTATCAGACTCTGAGTTTTATGGCTCCGTTTTGGATGCTGCTGTAGTCTCAGTGAAGAATGTGGGTCACAGAAAGACGTATAGTTTTTCCTTTGTGTTTACTTTTGTATTTTCTCATTATTTCATACAACAGCAAGAGATGAGTTGGGGGGAAAGCAGTACACTTCATCTTCTGAATAGACCGTCTTGGGTCACTATGATTATCTTAGGTTTGTGCTATATAATTTAGTCAGTTTGAACAAGGACCATAAGTAAACATTGCACATTCACTTTAGCATCGTGTAA